CTCAAAACCAAATACGCCATTTTGTAGAGAATTAAATTTTCTACGAAACCATATGTTTAGAAATTTATTTTTCGAAAACTTTCTCGACTAAAAATAGAAAATCCGATTTTTGAAATGTTCAAAAACCGGTTTTGAGACTCAAAAACCAATTTTTATCAAAAAAGCGTTTTAAACGGGTTCTTAGAATTAAAAATTACATCTAGTGATATATTCAAAATTTTCGCAAGCGAAAATATTTTTTTTATAAACTTGATCAGCGAAGTGTCGCGTTACGTGGACAAGCCGAAAAAACCATCCGATGCAAAAATATTGGATAACTTTGTAATATAAAAACTTATCTTAGAAAAAATGGTTGCAAAAATATAGCCGTCCTCTTAAGAGGTTTTGACCGCCTAAAAAACATTCCCCTGATCACTCGATATCAGTCAGGTACGTAAGAGGTTGTGATCGACCATTTAGGAGGTTTTGACAGATCGTTTACGAGGTTGTAACCGCCTAAAAAACATTCCCCTGATACCATTTTGATATCAGACAGGTACGTAAGAGGCTGTGACCGACCTAAGTGGTTGTGATCGCCAGTTTAAGGGATTGTGATTGAGGGTTAAGAGGTTGTGACCGAAAGTGATATCATATTTTAAGTAGGTTCAAAGAAAACCATAATACCGGTTTTTGAATACATAACTGCAACTTCTTCGAAGTCTTTCACAAAAAGCCTAACACTTTAATGTGGTATGTAGAAGATAAATCAATATCAAAAATAAAATCCTGTTTCAAAGTTTTATCGGCAGCTATCACTGTCTTATAAGGATAAACCGTTTAAATATTTCTCCAAAATGGCTTTGTGTTTACTCAGTTTTTTGTATTTATTTGGATATTTCCTATGGTACTCGCTGTTTTTCACTATGTAGTATTTTTCGCAAATATAAATAATCAAATTTAACGTCGGTCTTCTGACCTTCACTGAAAAACTTAAAAACAAATTGATGTCTTACCCTGATTATTCTTTTTATCTAGAAAATTTCAGGAAAATCTTAATATCGACTGCTTCGCATTTTATCCTAGGTTCTACTTTTAGAAAGACGTATTTTTCTTCACTGTCTGTATTGTCAATCAAGCTCTTACACAATCGATTGATACTAATTAACCTTAGAAAGTCTTCGGAAAATTATATATTACATTACAATCTTTTCTGCATTAATAGATAACTAAATCTACAATCATAATGCTGTATTATATTTGGTCAAAAATAACTTATCGGTCTTCGACTAACAGTTTCAAACGCAGACAATAATTAATTCATGTGGCTCTTTCTAGTATGGTTTGTTCTTCTTCTTCATTTCATGCTTCTTAAACAGCTGATGTCTACACTATTGAAACACATCGATGTATAGTTGTCCGGCAAACATGAACGATGATGAAAAATAACCGTTCGTCCATTTTTCTATATATATATATATTTATATATACATGTGGCTGAGTGGAAAAGAACAACAAGAACATATATGTGCAGTCTAATCCATATTTACCTTTCTTTGCATATACAGACATAGTGCATGGTGATTGTAAAAGATGCGGTCAGTCAGAATAGAGTGATATATTTGTACATGTTAGACGGTCATTATTGTGAAAAAGCAATAAAATTTTTCATTCCTTCCTTTCTGGTGACCTCAAACTACGTTCAGAATTGTTCATTCAAGGTTTCTTACGTATTTAGATTTAGATTATTTAAAATTTAAAACAATTGATCGTTTGAAAGTGCAGGTAAACGTACTTCTCCAGCAGATCATAATTTGGGAAAATCTTTTGTGTTATTCATTCTTCCTTAATTTGATATATTTATATTGAAATATGAAATGTTGTAGGATCAGTTTACAGTTGTCTGTTGGAAAACATTTAGTCAATCATTTTAATATTTTCGCCGAGAACTCTAATAGTCGTTTCGTGTACTCTGATGAAGGATTAGGAAATATCCATCAGTAATTTGAGTTTACGAATTATTACCTATCCTTTCCATAAATCTTTTTTTTTACGGAATGCACCTATACCATTCTACTAAAATTTTGATGTTGTATTGAATTTACTCTATAGGAAATTTCCTCATTACTATCTTTTATTGTAAGTCATTTTTCATTAGAAATGTTGTACGATATTATTGGTGTCTATGGTAAAGTTGGACAAAGTGGTCGACAAGACGATGATATGTTCGATCGATTTAGTCATCGTTGGACAGTTATCGTTTTAGCTATTTTTATTATAGCAATTAGTGCCAAACAATTTGTCGGTATGTTCATTTAGATAAGCATCTTTTTCTTCTGTAAAGCGTAGAAGGCTATATTCTCTAAAAGTATTGTTGATTTATTAAGGTACCCCAATTGAATGTATACCTCCAGCCGAATTTGGCGGAACGCACAAAACCTATGTAGAAAACTTTTGTTGGATTCATTACACATATTCCGGTAGGCATGTATTTATTCTTCAATGGCATACATAAAAAAACTTTGTATATTATTTTAGTTGATGATAATACAGCGTTAACAAGACAAATGGTTCGTGGTGCTAATGGATCTCATAAAACACCGTATTATATTTGGATACCATACATATTTCTGGCTGCATCTTTAGCAACATGGCTACCAGCTTGGTTCTGGCACATTGTCGGACATCGAGCCACATTTGATATACCCGCTATAATTAATCAATTAGCTAAAATGAAATTAACAAATCCCGATGATCGTATTGAAAATTTAACAATTATCGCTAAACATTATGAAAAAGTGGCATCCTATGCTAAAACAACAAATCGTTTATCACGAAATATGTTTCGGAAGATAATTAGTTATTCAATGTTTTTTGCTGGTGGTGGTGTACTAACGGGAATTTATTTTTTTGTTAAGTTATTATATTTAATAAATTCCGTTGGACAGTTTTTTCTCATGAATTATTTTTTACAAATTGATTATTGGCATTATGGTCAAAGAATATTATTTGGATTATTTAGTGGAAGTGATTGGGCGGAAAATAAACAATATTTTCCTAGAATTGTCTATTGTGATTTTGCTATTCGTTATCTTGGTGATAATAATCTTAACTATACGGTATATTTATCAATACAATTATTTATACTGAACGTTAGTTTGTTTATTTTTTATTTTTTGTTGTTAGGTCCAATGTACATTGCCAGTGAATTTGTATAATGAGAGAATATTTGCATTCTATTGGTTTTGGCTTATATTTCTTAGTTTAACAACAATTTATGGTATTACTGTTTGGTTAATGCAGATGAGTTATCGAGGACGACGAAGTTTTTTGAAAAAACATTTACGTATTAATCGGCAACTTTGTATGACATCAGATGAATCTAGTTCATTTGATGCTTTTGGTGAACGATATTTAGGTGGTGATGGTATTTTATTCTTACGCCTAATAGCAAAAAATACGAATCCAGTTATAGCCGGTAAATACATTAATAAACAGACTCGTCGAATATATTTTGATAACTGTTGTTTCTTCTAGGTGAACTGCTTAGTATTATGTGGGAACGATATCAAACGCGTCGTAATGCTACTATTGCTTTAGCTATAACTACAGGAAATACGGGTGGTGGTAGTGGCGATTCATCATACGGAAGTGAAAAACCGCCAATATTCGATGCAAATACATTACCGTATAATCAACAACTAAAGCAAGACTGAAAATAAATGGCTCATTTTTCCAATGGCGAACCTTCAACGGAGGCACATCATGAGTCAGATTTTTACTGTCGAGTTTTTCTCAACTATTTCTTTTGATTATTTTATTGTTTACAAACGTATAAAGTAATGAGAAAACTTTTTAACTCAACTACTGGCAGTGTCATTTTCTTTTTGTTTTGCTTTAAGTTTAAAAAAAAATTGGTTTTTTCTTTTTCGGTTTCTGTTTTTTTTGTATTATATCTGTAATAAAAATGATGGATAGTGTAAATAATTAAATTATTTTAACGAATTTTATAAGATGTGTATTATTCCTGCCAAGAGAAAAAATAATCTACATCACGGAAGAACGATATTGTAGAGAAATACATAAATAGTAAGTCTATTGAGTCCACAACGAACTTAAGAATCTCCAAGAAGTTGGTGAATCTATATATTCTCCAGAGAATCGAAACGAAAAAAACAATACACAGCTTTGCTAAGATAGAGCATGTAGTTTGGACATGATTTGTCTAAGATAAAAATTGTTTATTAAACGATGCGTCTATTATGAAAGAACAATTAATGGCTTATATAGTTAGTAGAATATGTATATGTTTTAGTTTTATGACTGTGCTTGGTACATGTAAGTTTTGACTTAAAGGATGTCATCGTTTTTTTATTTTGATGATTGCAATGACTTGAAATATTTTGACTCGATTCATTCAAGATTTGAATGTAAGATTCCAGAATCCAAGATTTTTATTTCCTGGTGTTTTTTCAAAGATCTTGGGTGTGGTAGAATGAAAGTCTCTTCTTAAGTCGATTATTGGCTTCTATTCTACTAGTTCTACTGGTCTGAGAGGTCAAAAACTGCAATCAACTATTTTCGTTCCATTTGGCCTGTCGTAATCTATCCAGTTAAAGAATTAGTTTGCTCTTTTCCTTCTGGTAATGAGGTTTTTAGACACACGGTTGGGAATAAACAGGGCATAGTGGTAGATTCTATCAGTGTTTTGTGACAATAACGCTACATCTAACGGCAATGTATTTAACAAAAAGAGTAGAGGTCGCCGCCTATGTGTGTATATATATTTATTTATATAGTTACTTTGATGTTTTTTTGGAGCTGTTTTTTACCGTCAAATTAAAACTTTAATCATTATGTCTACTCTGTTAAAATTACGGTGAGAGGTTAATTCTTTATACTGCGCAACCATCATGAAGTAAAGTAAATAGTGGATGATTAATCATTAATAGTACGCATTATGCATAGCGGAAGTGTATTGAAAAATATTCTTGTCTTGAATGCAGAAATTTCGTCCTATTTAACTGAAAACGGTTTTCTACCGGTGATTATTCTGCGCTTGAAAAATGGAAGAGAAGGAAAGTACTTAATTAAAAGAGAAAAACAGCTAAAAAGGAAAAAGCAAGTCAGGAAAAATAGAGCAGGAGGTCCAGAATGTATCTATAGATGGGAGTGGTGTTTGTGAAAAACTTATTTTTGTAATTTGAACTCATACTACCCCTGCTCGGAAATAGTATTGAGAGAAATGTTGCTGAATGAGCGAAAATTAGTATTTTTTAAATAAGAAAATAACATGACCACTTTTCTCGAGAAAGTTTTGAACTCGCCTGGTAAAGTATTGGCAGATTTGTAATTCTGATCAAGCGGTTTTCAGGCAGGAGTTTTAGAGGAATTTATAGAAAGGGAAAGTCATAAATGAAGTTTAATAGAAAAGGACTCGGTTTATCTATCTGTAACTCAGAATACTCGTTTTTATTGTTTTTGTGAATGCAGCGTCATATTTATGTAAGTTCGATGGCATGGGGTGAATACATTGAAGTTTGGTCTAGTTTTAGATAAAAGTCTACACTTTGAAATTAATAAAATGACTCAACCAATTTATGATCCAAAACAAGGTATATCTCTTCGCCTTCTTGGTTTCTTCAATATGACTAATCTCGGCTTATTTTAATTTTAGGTGGTTTTCGTGTTTTTATCGGAAATCTAGGCGCTCGAACAAATATTTCTGATCTTCAACGAGAGTGCGAAAGATATGGTTCGCTTGTTGATTGTTGGGTTGCCAGGTTCGTCGTTGATTTTTATTTATTTCAGCATGTTTAGAGAACTAAGATGTTTTCCTTGAACATACCAATAAATACATGCACATTTTTCCTTCTAATCGAGTATTTACTCCTGTATTCTCGTTTCGTCACCTAAATTAGAATTTTTTTTACAACAGTTATTTGTTTTGAATGCTTTCAGTTGCTGGTCGGTCGAAAACAGCGAACACCATCTAAACTTCTTCTACTTCATGCACACTAATCATCATCTGTGAGAGATTTAAGTTGTTTAGAAATATAATGTCGAGACCCTGCTTTTGATCTACTATATATCGTCGAAAATTTACAACAGCACACTTAAGCTTCTTGTCGGTCGGTTGTTGTCATCACCATGTCTAACGAAACGTCAAGAGTAAAGTAATAATAAACAGCAGACAACGACTTGAAAAAAAAAGATGAACACGATCCTTTTGCTCTACGAATTTATGTCTTGTCGAACACCTCGGCAAGGTATACGTCTTCATGGATGACAAACTATCTACATTACGGTAAGAAGTACGTAATATCTCTTTTAAACATCGGTGATAGTTTTGCTTCCCGAAACAAATCAGTCAAATATTTGTAGTTTTTTTACTCGGGGAAAAAAACAAGAAATTACGAATAGTTAATTTTACATTTTTTGTTTTATTAACAAACATCTGAGAGAGTTAGAAAAATGTAACGTTTATGTTATGGTATACGTACTGTCCTTTGTAATTGAGCAGTCTGTTGAAAAACAAAGCTTCTTACTAATTTAGTTTTATTATATTACGGGTGTCACACTTTTATTATTATTTTTTTGGAAGGCACAAAATTGTTTAAAAAGTTAACTTTTATGCGAATGTTTTCTTTAGAAATCCACCTGGTTTTGCTTTTGTTTTGTACAAATATGGTGAAGATGCTGATCAAGCCGTAAGATCAATGGATGGCAGGTTTGTGCTCTCATTAACTTTTATCTGTTTTTTCTTACTTTATCTCATTTACTAATTTCAGAATTGTATGTGGTCAAAGAGTACGGGTTGAACATGCAAAAGCAAGAGCTGTTAATTATCGTAATCCTCCTTCATATCAGGCTGGATATTATCGAAATGCGGACGAGTAAGTGTTCAACAAATCTTATAGGCTCAGATTTTGTTTATTTATGAAATATTTTTCTTTATTCAGTGAATCACCACGAGATTATGATTCATATGGTGGCAATCGTCGTTCATATCGAAATGACAATTATAATAATGATGTAGATAATTACAAAGATCGAGATAATGACGATGATGATACGGACTCAGATAGACGACATAAGTAAGTTCAATGGATAAATTTTTTCCACTTTGCATCTCTTCAATATTCTTCTTTTCAGACGTCGCGATCGTCGACGTCGTTCATCATCAAAACGATCAAGATCACGTGACAGGTATTTTGAGAATTTTTATACAAAAAATATTTTGTTTTTTATAAGAAATGCAAATACTATTGTATGAGAAGGTTTAAATTTTTAACTTGTACGAAACTTTGATGAACTTTTTTCGGTGACCTCCCGAATGAGAACAATTTTCTTAATAATTTCTCAAGTGAGAACATTTATCAACCGTGTACTCTTGAAGGAGAACATTTTTGAGAATATTCTTCAAAGGAGAACAGTTGTAAACTGGAAGATAACAGATTAAAGCATAAGCTAATTAAGAAGCTTCTTAAAGCTCTGTACGAGAGAAAGAATAATGCTGAAGAGACTGTTTAGACCACCTACTAGTAAAGATGGTCATAAGTCGTTATTGTATAAAACGTATCGTTATCGCCTAAAGTTGACGACACTGGAACGTGGCGTTGTACTGAGTAAGTTGTCTGTTTAGTATTGCTTCTATTTTGTTGTTGTAACTAAATATCAACTGTATCGATTTAGCTGTAATTGTTGTGCATCAATAGTAGTCAATCAAACGACGTTAGCAGTTTTAGTGGAACGTGGGAACCATGCACATGAAGAAGTCAAACCATGTTATAGAATCTTGTACAGTTTGTCAGATAGTTTTTCAAACAACGAAGTTTCGGATACGGAAACTTAAATATGTCTTTTTTTTTATATTCTTTATAATAACAAAATCACTACGCGTTAGCATCTATTGCAGTGGCTATTTGTTCTCCTGCGAGAGTTTACTGTTTAAAAATGTTCTCCTTTAAGAATAAGTTTATAAATTGTTCTCATTCGAGAGTGCAGCAGTTGAATATGTTCTCCTTTGAGATAAATTATAAAATATTGTTCTCCTTCAAGAATGCACAGTTTCAAATTGTTCTCAATCGGGATGGCGCCCTTTTTTCTCTCTCCTTTGTTTAAGTGTAATAAGCTAACTTACGATATTTTATTCTTTTTAAGATCTAGCCGTCGTCGTTCAAGATCAAGAAGCGACAGTCGTGATAAAAAGAAGAAGTACGTTTGAACTTGAAACCAAATATTAGTTTATACTAAATTTCTCTTTTTAGAACACGTCGTCGACATAGTAAAGATAGTAGTCGTGAAAGTAGCCGTGATCGTCATTCTAGTAGCAAATCAAAATCAAAACGAAAGCATCGGTTAGTATGAAATAATTTTCGCAGTTCTATAGCTCAAATTGTTTGTATTTTTTAAGAAGTGAATCACGTCATCGCAGTGATTCTGACCATTCAAAAGAACGAAAAAGTGAGAAAAAAAGACGAAATAGCGCAAATAAAAAACGCAAACATATTGATGACGAAGAACGTTCTCGTGATTCAAAAGATAAATCATCCGCATCAAAATCAAAATCGCATTCACCACGAGTCACGGATGATGAAGACCAGGAGGAGAATGAGAACGAAAATAACGAAACGGAGAGTAAAAATAATCGACGATCTAAAAAGAATGTTAAAAAACATCAAGTTAAAAAATCGTCAGGTGATGAGGAACAAAGTGGCGATAATACAAGTGAGCATGAAGAAGACGAGGATGTAGTTGACAAGAATGATCGAAGAAACAATAAGAAACATAAATCGTCAACAAGCGATGATGAAACAACAGCAACAAAAAATCACCGAGTTGAAGATGGAGAAGTTGAATCCGAACACACGAATGAAGAAAATGTTGAACGTGATGATTAACAATTGATTAGACATAATTCTAAAAACCTGTGAATGTTCCTGTTCGGATATTTTTCGTTTTTACCTCCGTCATTTGATCTTTTTTTGTTGCTATTTCTTACAATAACTGCTGCATGTTTGACTTCTCAATAAGAAGTCTTTTATGTGTATATTGTATTCTGTATGTATGTGCGTGTATATAATAAAGGCTTTCGTTATCGATTACCACATGTAGTGATTTTTGTTTAAATAATTTGTATTTGTTTTTCTTTTTGTGATTGTTATTGGTGTTTTGTCTCATAACATGTTATCAAATCGTTTATAATAATATTCTTTTTTGATTATCTTGAGTGTGAGTATATTAAAGATTTTGTAAACAATAGAGCAGGATGTAAATGTGTTTAGTAGTGAATGCAACTAATGGGGAAAAAATTATTAAATCATCTGGAATATGGATGGTAGTCGATTCAGAAATGGTTTTGTTGACAACATTGTCTGTATTTCGTCTATTAATAATCATTATTGACATTACTACGAACATTATTGAGAATACAATGAAGAAATTACGCTATATCTTGATCAACTTTTCAAAGATGTGAGATGGATCAAAAGTTGTTAACAGATAATAATCATATTTAGTAATTTTACAACCGCCTTCTTAGTTACTACAGACTCAGACAGAATTCATTTCTGAAAGAATCAAAGAAGATACCACGACCGGTTTCGACCTTTCTCAAGGATCTCGTCAGGTGGTTTCCTTCGAGAAAGACAGAATTAAGGCACTTATACTTAATGTAGAGAAGCAGAACATGTGCATTGTACAGTGATATCGTGCTTCGCTCTCGTCGTGTAAAAGTTATCGTTCTTTGTTCGATAAGAACAAGGAATAGTAACACCCTCATACGGTGTGGACGGAGTTTGTTTTGCTTGTCGTGCCTTAACTCTGTCTTTCTCGAAGGAAACCACCTGACGAGATCCTTGAGAAAGGTCGAAATCGGTCGTGGTATCTTCTTTCATTTTTTCAGAAATGAATTCTGTCTGAGTCTCTAGTAACTAAGAAGGCGATTGTAAAATTACTAAATATAATTAAATTTAAGTCGAGTTTCATACATAGATAATAATCAACAAAAACAGTGGCGAATCTAGAAAATTTTTCATCGAGTACACGATCTGAGAAAATTAGCCAGCATATATGATTTTTTGATACCTGTTTGAAACGACAGGTTAACTCATTTTTAAATCAGAAGGAGTACTATGAAATCAAAAAGTCTGACAGATGTGAACGTACTGATCATAAATCCATCATTAAACAAAAATAGCTCTGTTACAAATTATTAGAACAATGAACGTTTAAAAAACGTCAGGCACGTTTTTTTTATGAAACTGGAACTGAATTTATCTCAGTGTGTGCTATATGAAAACTATAACTCTTGTCTGAAAATGTTTCATACAAATGTTCTTAAAAATAATGGTAAAACGAAACTTGCAAGAAAATAGTTTTTAAAGTATATTATCACGAGAGAGAAGAAAAATAATTTAACATCTTTACAAGTCACTTTTTAACAAACAATAAATCGTCGCTCTTTTCTTTCTTTCCTTTGTGAAAAAAATGTACGATTTTTCAATCTATTGATCTTACTCCTGCACCAATGTTCGTATATTCTCAAAATTTGAATGTTTCAAACAATAACATCGTTAGATAGTGTTAAAATAATTCGATTGAATTTTAAACTTGTATTTGACAATAATTTATCATGAGGTAGAAAATTCTGTTCTCTTTTTCAAAAACCGTAAACACCAATGATCGTTATTTTTATTCATCGAGAAGTTATTGAACACCTACCGTATAATGTATATATCAGTTTATTTTAAATAAGAAAGAAAACAGTAGCCTTGACAAATTACTGTATTATTTTAACAATATTTTGGAGAGTAAATAGTAGTCCAATGATAAGTGGTAATGCTTAATCAACAAAATGATAACTATAAAAGAAAAACATATCACAATTTTTAATCAGTCACATCAAAAGTTTCTTTATTATTCATATCTGAACTTTGAATTTCAATCAATAGTTTTTCTTCATATACAATATCAAGATAGTTGCATAAATATTTAAAAAATTAAGAAATTGTTCCGTTTCTAATTTAGTTAGTGTCACTTTTTCAAAATTATAATAAACAAATAATATTTTTGATATTTTATATAATGAACTCATTAGTGAAACTTCTCTTATTTTAACAATTGATAATGGATAACATAAACGTAAATCATTGAACGCAGTATTCAATACAGCATTACAATAAAATGCTAACAGAGTATAGGAAACTAACATCACGGGTGATATAAATGAATTTACTATCACAGCAGATGTGGAATTATTTGTTGACGACGATAATGATTGATTTTGTTCAAACGTGTAAGAATGCATGATTTGTTCAAATACTGAATTAGCATCATTGACAGAATTTTGAAAAAATTAATCACAGCCAAATTAGAAAAATAACGATCAAATAATGGACGAAAATTAGAACTATAACGAGAGAAGGATGCATCAAAATATATCAATTAATGAAGAAGAGATTTAAGACGTTAATACTAAGAACATAAACAAGAGAATTTAAATGTTTTCATTATAATGTTTAAAAAAAATGTTTCCTTAAAACGAGTGAAAATTATAAAATGAAAAAAAAACCTTCTTTGTTTTTCTGCAAGATTAACGTAAAATTCTAAGCTATGTTTGATGGGCGTAAATTAAAATTCTACTAACTACAGCTCGGGCTTTTGATTTAATAGTAAAATAACTGTACTGTAGATCGATTTGTAATACGTGCAAATATTCATATAATCTATGTACTAGCCATAATCAAAATAAATTTTGTTTTTTTAATATATTCATTTCTATTACATGTCATATATAACGCTGTGTCATCGTCACTAAAGAAAGCTCAATATTATGTGTAACATTTTGATGCATATTCATCATAATCACTGTGATAATTTATATTAGGTAATGTAAAAAAAGTAAATCTTAATTCTAATTCACTGAATATATCCATTCGTCGAACAAAAACCCGTTATTCTTAAACATGCTGAAAATTGTATTTGTGCTTGTTGTTGTTATATTTCAAGCATATACTCTAACGAGAGTCGAACATCTTGAATAGTTGGTCTTATTATTGAAAGTTTTGTATGATAGTTTTGTATGATTGTATAATGGTGATGATAGTGACATTGTCTCCTTCAGGATCCAATTTGTTGATCAAATGTTAATGTTAACATACCGTTTTCAAATTGTGCTTTTTCATTATGTAAATGTTCTGTTTCACGATATAAACGTTCAGTATCATATGTAAATAATCGTTGTAAATAAGTCAAGTATGTATCAGTCGAAGTGGAAGTGGATGATGAATTTGTGTCAGCTGATGTTACAGTGCTACTAGTTAGTGATTTGAAAACCGATTCAGCATTTTCATTTAAAAATGATAACAAAAAATTTTATTCGTCTATCAAGTCCATTTTAGACAATAGAATCTGCAATGAACAATCAAAAAGTAACTGAAAACTATAGCATGATAACACCTCGCATTTTACAGGTATTTTTTAATAGACATCACAGCATAACTAAAAACTTGAAAATAAATTGTTTTGTCTTTAAGAGATATTATAGACTATTTCATAATTGTTTGTCTTTTCGGTTAAAAATATTCCACACTGTTAATGGTATACAATCATAAAGAAACAGATTTAATCACTGTCGTGCTACACATACCCACACACACACACACGTATACAAGAAAAAGAATACGTTCAGATTTGATTGAAGCTGACTAAGGATGTCGGTGTTGATAATAAATATCACAAGAGTGTCTTGATTAATCCATTTGTGAAGGATGGAAATACAAGATAAATACTAATAAAAAAAAAAAGTTTAAAGAATACACAAAAAAGTATAGTTTGATGGTGAAAAAAAATCGACACAAATGAAGGATTAATCAGACTAGTATATCTTTTAAAGACATTATATAATATTTATAGTGTCGTAGAGATGTTTGCTACGAAAATTTAGCCTAAATAAAGGTTGCTAGATGTTGCATCATTCACGTATCTTAATAACTAACTAGACGATGTGAGATAAATTTTGGCAAACATGCTAGTAAAAATAACTGTAATGCCACCAACCAATATCCCGAACTTTTTTCCGTTCGTCCTAATTGTCTTAATATTGTATCAACATACGACTGAGGATCACATGATCCCCATATAGAATGAGCACTACTATCTTGTCCATATTTTGATAATATTAATTTTTGAAATATTTCTAATGAACGACTATCAGCGGTTGCTTTGATCCATGATGGTGGAAGATAAACGGTTTGAAAATGTAATAAACCACGATTAGAATAATCGTGTTTACGTGAATTAAAATAGACCTGTAATAAATTATGTAAACTTGATTCCATACAAGAACGATGAGGCATCACATTTAAAACATAAGCTGGACGTGAACGAGTTGACATGTAGGGTAGAACCTAGAATGAACACAAAAACAGTTATTATATTATGATAAAACTGTATATCGAAGAAAACCTACTACTACATATAACGAATATTCACACAATACAACTTATACTTACGAGATAGCTAAGTTGCATTGGTGGTACTAAATAATTGTTTATGATTGATTGCATTTCTGATGGATTCAATGTTTTTGATAAATTTCGATCATCAAATGGTCGTGTACAATTAATATAGAGTACTAAATTTGAACTTCTTGCTATATTTTCAATTGTTTCTAAACGATCAAATGATCCAACACGATGAAAACTTGTATTATTGGTTGTTAACGGTATTTGTCCAAGTGTTGGTGGTGATACTGATGACCAGTTACCACCAGCATTCATCACATCAGAATTCCATCTATAGAGAACAGTCATTGTTCGTATTGAGTATGTCTTTTGAATATATGAAGATAATTGCTCTAAATGATCTTTTAATTCATCTGTTGAAACTAATATGAGATTATAACCACGTTTCTAAATGAAAAAACAATAACAAAATAAAGATTTCTCTTAGATATTGTGTTTATTTACAGCCAAATTTTGTGCAAAGGCATATCCACACGGTGTCGTGGCATCATTTAAAATTGCCCAATGTTCACCATAATCAATATTACTTGTATTATTACTATTTGATAATGGTATTTTTACTAGTACTGGATTAATTTGATACGGAAAAAAATATAATTTCAATGTTCTGTAAGTACGATAGGGTAGTGGAAGAATTTTTTTTAATAAATAACAGCCCGCTAATAATGCAAGAATGTTCCGACAAGGTTTGTAAATTGAATTAAGTTCTTTGATTAATAATTGAACATCTTTGAGCAATAGTTGATATAAAAATTCAAATGAATCAATCGATGTGGGAACTTTAGAGTTGATTGTCAGAAATGATGATGACATCGGGATTGTTGTTCCTGTCACCGACATCAAACTCGTATTAATCTTAAAGTCATAGAAAACAATTCGATTAAAGAACCAGATGACTATAATAATGTCTCTATAAGCATATTATATTAGTTAAACGATATTAACGCTGTAGTAAGATCGTTATTCTCTTATTACTTATCGATTGCATCATGATTTCAGATGGCAAAATTTACATCATTAGTACATCATTAGGATGTGTTTTTGAATATTTTAATGGTATGAAAAATGTACGTATGTTGTTCAAAATAGATAATTCTTTAAACAACAATTATCATAAAAACGATTTAAGGTGTAACTAATTAAAACATCGAGACAAAACTGTTCACACAAAACAATACAACATAATGACAACAAAAAATGTTTTGAAAAAAAAAGAATAAAAATAGACAATATCGTCAAATTTAGTTCTTTGGCATAAAAAAAAACCGAACATTTAACACTCAATGAAATATACAAAACAATATCGTATTTCGATCTTTTATAAACTTTGTACCAAAAAAAAAAATAATACATACACACTGCACATCAAACTGGAAGTGAATAACTTCAATGATCGCTTTGTAAGCAAAGAGTATATACACCGAAACAAAAAATGCAAAGTATGCAATAAAAGAAGATTAGATAAAAGAAAACTCTTAAACGAGATATACATCAACTATAGAGAGAGAAAATTTGTACAAGAAGAAATTTCATCAAAAAAAAAATATTAATAAGAAACTACCAAACTTCTTTAATGTTTCAAACAAGTATTTTGAAAACAAAAAAAATATCGTAGTCTGATTTATACACTATATTAATCATTTTAGCAAAGTCTTAGGAGAGAGAAACATATTGTACAAACTAAAGTTCCTATCCGAATGCTTTTAGAAGTTTTACGGACAGAGAAATACTCATTCGGCTCATTTCTAATAAGATCCTGATCAGATCGATATACAATCAACTCTCAATGATTATTTTCTTTAATACAGTGCTGATATTTGCAGCGATAAAACTTGTAAAAGACGTTTACACTGGTTGAACGATATTCAATGCTTTATTAACTCACCAATACACGGTTACTGAAAGAAAAAATTCTTCGTCGTTTCTGAAAAGAAAATTTTCTGACTCCAAAGACTAGGCTAAAATATTTTTTTTGAAATTTTTTGTGAACAACTTCAACTGTATACTCGACTATAGTAAAAGCAGAACTAAAAACGACGAAGAAATGCTATGATGTACAAGAGAGTGAGATAAAAACAGAAAAAGACTAGCTAACAAGGCACACATAAAAAAGTCACTCGAAGTAAAAAAAAAAAAAAGGAAAAAATGACACACATAAACGGTAATTGTTTTTTGTTCGAAATTTAATATTCTTCTTTGTAATCGTTTAGAAAATCAAATGAGCTCAAATCTGGTTCACCAACAGTACCTGCAGCTGTAACTGAACTTGAATTCAAAAGTGGCGTTTGTTGTTCGCGATCTCCGCTACCGTTATTCGGATTTGTTGGTGTCGTTGTTGTGTTTTGAAAAATGTTTGTATCAAATATTTTTGGTCGTTGTTTATTTATTTTTCCTCCTTTTACTTTTAGTTCATCACCTTTGATTTTGATTCGATGCTTTCCATCATTAATTTGATCATTGCCGAATGCGTATTTATTGATTAATGCAATATTATCATCCTTCTTGTTTGTTGGTAATGATGAATCAGTTAATACTTCAAATGATAAATCATGTTGTCGTTTTGGTACAGAGGCATCTTCACCCTCTTCTTTACTCGCAGCATATCGCTGACGAAAACCTACCATTGTTTGACTATCATTAATCGAATTTTGATTATTTATAATTAAGTTTTCTTCATTTGTATCTTCTTCTTCATCATCACTTTCACTTGTTGTTAATGACCGACGTTTTTGCTGTTGCTGTTTTCTTAACCTATTCATTTCTTCATCGTCATCATCATCATCATTAAAATCAGAAGGTTTTTTTGGTACTTGAACCAACAATTCTTTTCGATCAATTAGTGATTTTCTTTTATATTCCATACTTTGATCTAATTGTTCTAAGATTGGTTTGATGCGTACTAAAAATTTTTGTATGAGTTTATGATAAATAATAGCTGGTAATGTAAATAAGATGATCATTATTATGTAAGACAAATAGAATCCATTAATTTTTAAACCAATATAAGCAAATAACAAGCAAAATACAAATAATAATAGAGAATATTTTGCTTTATTTTCAGTTTTCAGTGTTGATAACGATTGATATGTATGACATACACTACGATACGAACGTAATACAAGACGCGTGAGTTCACAAAGACGTTTTTCTTCTTCGTTATAATCTTTTTTTTTGTAATTTCGTTTTCGTTTTATACAATCTAGTATATGGAATACTAAAAAAACGAGAACAACAGCGCAAAATGGACGTAAACCAGCGCGAGCAATCGCATAAAATATAATATGCAATGCAGTGAACGCTAACATTGTGGCATAACGATTTTCCCAAAATATTAAACGTTCAATTCCTAACAAAAAAAAGAAAAAAAAAGTTCATATCTGTGTTGAATGTAAGTAAATTGATATACATACGATTGAAAGCGGGCTCTATTGAAATAATAATGTCTTCCATTTTCAATAAAAACACTTCAAAAATTCAATCAGAAGTTAACGTAAAAATCTATAATAAACCGGTAACTGAAAATAATTCATTCTCTCTCAAACCATGAGGAAAACTGGGCTTGTGTGCATCACATAATACAATACAAATCAAAGCTTCAACGATCTATTACACCGCGGATAATTCATCAGTTATTTACAAACAGGAGAGATGTTCAACTCTTTTAGCTCGACTTATTCGAGAAATGCCACCTATCGCAACTGATTCATAGAGCCTACTCTTGTGAAAGAGAAAAACTCCATTACAATTGAACCAATGAAAACCCTTAAGAAAAACCTCTCTTAACCATAGCATGTGAAAAAGATGTTGCTATAGCTATATCTAGTACAAACGAGCTTAGCACATATTACTCGCAAAGATTGCTTAATTCGTTTTTTACTTTTAATTGCAAACTGCTTTAACTCCTAGAATCTAATTTTCCTCTTCTTCTCTGTTCTCTTCCTACATGCTGATTATAGCAAAATTTCAGTCTATAAAATACTTCCGATAATAATAGAAAAAAAAAATTGAATTCAACAGACTTCGACAAAAGAGAATTTTTACTTAACAGAACTATCAATATACATACATAAACGAAAAAAATAAATTTTCACAAAAAATAACGCAAAGTTTGACTAAGGAAAACGAAAATAAGAAAAAAATTTAGCATATTTTCAAGTTATTTAAAGCACTCCTGTCGTTGCATTTATGTTCGGTAAAACAGATGTTGTTGGTAATTGTAATAAGGGTATGCTCGTCGATCCATCTGCATTTGTCACAAGTGGAGCTGTGTTGTTATTATTAGTAGTTGTAAGTGTATTTGAAGTTTTTTGTTGTAGTTTCAAACGTAATTCCACCACATAATCTAATTGATAACGTTCACGGCATTCTAAGCAAAAACACACATTATTATTAGAGAAAACAGTCTCTTCAGGAAGTCTTACATACCTAAGAAAAACGTTTCAACGTCCTGAACGGTTTTTGTGGCTACAACATTAGCTACGCAACGAAAGTCTTTTCCATATTTAGCAAACGCTTGAATAGCTAATAGTGTTTCATCGGTTGTCCATGTTGATACTATATCATTGGATTGTTGTTGTTGTGAAGAAGATGAAACAGATGAATGACGATTCACTAATGGCGGTGGTATACGTATGGACTCCATGCCCATACGTACTAGACTTGACATATAACCAATAAATTGGTTTTGTGATTGTATTGTACATCTTTCACGTCGAATTTCTTCCTCTAGTTGTTCAATAGGATCAATTATATCTGAATTTGTTGAATTATTATTCGCCAAATCATTCGTGGCATTTTCATTGAACATATAATTCGCCATGGTCAATAAACTATTTTGATCAAGCACCTAGAAATAAGTCAGATTACAATAATATAGAATTACATGGTAAAAAATGTTTTTTAGAAAATACCATATTCTTTGGTGGTTTTTTCACTTTTTTCAACAAAGATTTGCCCGGTTGTATTTCTGGTCTCATTAAACCACTATCGGACCAATATGTATAACATTGAAGGCATAATATACCCTTTGGAGTTGAATACATGGATGATGTACAATGTGACGTTTCGCAATTACAACATTCTTGTTCTTCATTTAAATTTTGTTGTTGTTGATCGGTTTCCATATGCAGAGAAGGTGATTCACTTGACTGCTCGCAAAATCCGTTTGTTTTTTTACTTCCCAAATCTCTAAGAAACAAAATAACGACAATAACAAGCTAAAACGCAAGTGTATTTTATGCTCATAAGCTTACTTTGTTGGTATTTGTATGGATGTAATATTTTCATTCATTTCATCATCACTGTCGTCACACGATGTAAATCGATATTGTTTTTCGTGTTTATCCAATAGACTCATTTGTTTACGTGTTTTTTTCCACGAATAATAGTATTGTATTAAATTAGCGATGGTTTTTTCTGGTAACATTTGACGTATTCTTGAAAATATTTTACCGTAAAATTTATACGCTTGTTCAAATAAACATTTTTCTTCGATTGTCCAATCATCAATTTCTGGTGTATACCGTTGCATCAATATTTTGGCTGTCGATGTTTTATATTTACAGATATACAAAATGCCAAGTGCTTGCTCTTCACTCATCCGATGTTTACTGCGTGCAAAATCAATATATTCAATCAATTCGTCATTAGTCAACAAATTTGTCGGTTTCCAAAAGATAATGCCATCATGATCAGTATTTGATGAAACAGTGGCGGATGCTAAAGGTTCATTACTTGCAATCAACAAAGGAATATCCGCTTGATATGGACCACCTTCACGTATTCTAACATCAGAATCAGTTACAGAATCATCATTATCGTTTATTGTTGTGGATGAACTGCGTTTTGAAGTTGGTGTCAAGGTTAATTTCATTATCTAAAAACCAGAATGACATTTATTTCTCGTCATTCAACGAAATAAAAAATACTTAGCAAAATAAAAATTGTATGAATATGCCGTCTTGACTTGTGAAGGAAAGTAATCATATTATAGAACGAAAATTTGTGATCTTGTCATCTGTAGTTCAACTATCAACCATATCAAAAGACAGTGCTTCTATCTATTAGAGTAATAAATCCATTTGTGTCATTTGACTAGACAGCAAGATTCGGAAGTGGAAAATCATTTTACTAAAGAAAAAACATATCGTGTGTCACAAATATTAATTAGCAAAAACTTGTGCCTTGTAACAGCCTGTCAAATACAAACAGTGGAATTTTTTGTAAAGAAATATGTTTTCTCAAGTACAAAGGCTGCCCAGTTGAACAGTGACTACCTTTAACTTTAGCGTATAGAACAGAAAACTAATAACATATAGCGAAAAAAATGTACACATATTCTGATCGTGTAAAAAAGAACTAGAAAGTAGAGAAATTCGAAAAAATATGCGATAAACTATCAACAGCAGAACGTTCGTTCAGTAGTATATTCATAAGAGTGTTAAAATTGTTTTCATTTAAATTGTGTAGAAAGTGATGCATTTGTATATAATTATATATTCATTAAAAGGAAGATAAGATTATTGTGCACTACAGGATATTCCAGTAAATCATGATCAGTAACAACAAAGTGAAGCATGCCCACATATATCATGAAAGGATAACAAAATATCGAAAGGAAGACGATAAATTGTTTTACGTGTAAAAATAAAATATTAAAACACGTGTATATAACAAATTTTCTTTTTACTTGTTTGAGAGAAAAAAAAAACAACAATCCTGATTAGAGCAAATGCTGTGCTTTTATTTTGTCTTTTCTTAAATAATTTTGAAAAACAAGAGGAAGAAAAAAGACATATCACAAAAAAAGAAAATATAAATCAAATGAAGTACAGCACAATAGTAAAAAATAGCACGTAAAAAAACAGAGATGGGGATAACGCTTCCAAATTCGAATCGCATTTATACTCAAATTGTAGGGTTTACGACTTCAGAATGCTTAAGATTGAATAACATACCAGTCATTTGAAGTAAAAAAAAAAAATTGACCTATGTATTAAATTCATTTTTTCTTTAAAGACCCACAGAAATTTTTTGCAGTAAGAGTTAAATGAATAATAACGTTTTTACTAAAATCTTCTCTCACTTGCGCATAATGAGAGAAAAAAAAATGAAAACAACAAAAATAATATCAATAAATATGAACACATTTTTTAATGTTTAATTTTTAGCTTGTGTTGAATGTTGTATTATTGTTGTTTTTTTATTGACCATGGGGAGTAGGATACAACGCATTTTCTGGTGGCTGTTGTAATTTCATGTTCTCTTTTTGTGACATACTTGAACGAATATCATTTAATACTTGATGAATTGTACTATCACGATTCCAATTTCTGAGTGATGGCACATGCTTGGGATCAACCTTAAAAAAGCAAAATAAAGATACTTTAAAAAATGCCTTATCGCGAAGAAAATATTGACTATCATCTATTGCATAAAATTTTTAGTTTTGGATAACTTTATTCTTCTTACAATAGCTACTTACTGTGCCGTTTGCTGCTACTCCCGCTAAATTAACACGAGTTAAAAAACGAAATGATGGCGCTTCGTCTGGATATCTATCACTACAATGAACTTTTAAATTGTAAATTCTTCCTTCATACGGCGTCTAAACGATAACATTGAACAAATTTTAATTTATGTAATACTATCCATGAAAGAATTTGAAACGGGTGAGGATCGTTAGAATGAGTTAAATAATTATTTTCATATTTAACGCATTCTAACCATTGTTAGCCATTTCAAATTATTTCATGGGCAGGTAGTTAAGCAATTTAAAATACTTACGCGTGGTGGAGCTATTATCATGCATATCCACTTTGACAATGTCATATCGTCATTTGACTCGAGACCCCACGATACTGAACCATCATGTTGTCCTTTTTGAGCTGATTCTAACTCTTCTAGTAATTTGAAACTTCTCGGAATAACTGTAAAATATTAAAGAAAAAACAATAGGTTTCTATAATTAACACTGAAAGAAAATTTTCACCTGTTTTGGACTGAAAATTATTTGCCATAACTTTAACTCTGTATCATTCAAATCTGAAATAACACGCTTCGTACAAGAAATAACGACAATAACCGTTGGATGCTATTTCAAACATCTACTTTAAAAACAGCGGACAATTATATCATTTCTGTCTCAGTTCTCGTTAATTCAGGCATACATCACGATTATTACGAGAAATATCAGAGGCGTGAGTGGACAGCAGAAGTTCAAAAATGGGGCTTACACTTTTAGGTCGACAATAATACTGCGATTTTTCTTGAAAAAAAAAGTAATAAATGCAGTACTTGAGATAAACTGACTAAGACTAAGTTATTCCATTAAATAAAAAGTCACAAACTTTGCCTTCCTTTCTTTTTAAATTTGCGTATGAAAGAACGCATACATACGATCGCGAGTTCTTCGGCTGACATCTTTGAAAGTTGATTTGCTTTAATTTTTAATTGATTTATGCATGTAGATTAGGGTAGCTGAAGCAGAAAATAATACTTCAGTTTAACATTCGAATATCTTTTTTGAAGTTAAAATGATATACTGTTTGACCGATTATCATCTAGTAGTGTAGTCAGAGTAACCATGGAAGACGTTTGATGAATGGTTGCAATGGAAGGAGCGCGAGTGTGTGAGCTGATAACTTCAGAACAAATAATGTTATTAAAAGTCTGTTTGTTTCAGTAAAATCATACGATCATTGTTTAAATACTTTCAATCATCGAACAATGAGTCGCAGTGGCACAAAATTTCTATATTATATAATCGACTTTAAAGTTGAGGTCAATTGAGATATTTCAGAATACTACATTTGAGAATACAACTACGAGTAGGCATTTTTAGTGATGCGTTCTTTTTATTTAGCTATTATAATTTACTATTTCGGTATACTCTATACTTTTGTTTATTACAATATGTTCAAGGAATATATTCCTTTTGAATAGGACATGTATTAGCAATCATATCATGAATTGCGTGATTAATGGGGCAATACTATTTACGACGAACATATCTAGTCAATGAAAACGTATCGCGTGAAGGTGTTGAGCGACAACAACGCAAGCTAGCCGTTCATCGACGTTTTAGCGAAGAACTTGTTTTGTTAAGAGTATGATATACAAACTACCTATTTTTCATCTGAAACATTCGCTACAAATAATAACCCATAGTAAAACAACAGCGGAGTAGATAGTAGTAAATCTAGGGTTGGAATCTTCCTTGCACAAATTTCTGCGCTTTCTGAAAGTTCAGTGTAAATTGGAGCAGTGCTTTTCTAGCGCGACTTTGTGTCATGGATTTATCAAAATATCCACCTTCGACTTCATGGCTGTAGAAGTTCCAACAAATGCATATGGTTTTATTTCATTTTCTGATATCGGATCAAAACATGCGCCGGTACTTATGCATGTGAATTCTTAAGTTTTATGTCATTATCAAAGTTTTTTTGCTCTTATTGTAACAGTATGTTCGTTTATCAAATGCGACAAACCCAAAAATAGTGACAGAACTCATGTTTGATATCTGGAATATGAAACTTCCGAGTCTATTGTTATCGATCACTGATGGTTCGCGACATTTCATCAAACTACAGCCAGCTCTAAATGATGTCTTTATTCGAGGTGTACTTAAAGCAGCCGAATCAACAGGTAAACTGAAGCAATTTCAAAGACATCGGAAAGCCATGCTTACTTTTCTTTTCAGAAGCATAGATATGCACTGGAGGTATGAATTTGGGTTTGAGTAAATACATTGGTCAACATTTTTATAGACAAACGACAGCAAGACAGAATCCACGTATGTTTTTGAACCTTTACTAGGAGTAATAATATGCCACCATACCTTTTAATAATATATCTTTCGATTATAATTGTCATCCTAGCAATATCCACATGGGGTAAGCTTTACTGAGAGGAATCCAATTTTGTACTTTACGAACTTCTTGCGAGTTTCAGGATATGTGTGGAATCGATCATCGTTATCGTCGATCGTCGCTATTTTCGTAGATCGTTGAGATGAGATGTCAAATGCATGATCTATACTTACAGTATCGTACAGTTAAGTATGACACAATTTCAATAAATGAGATGGATATTCAAAAATTAGCTCCTCTCGAACGACATTATACTCATTTTTTTACTTGCTGATGATGGTACAGAAGACACTGACGCTGCTGATATTAGACTAAGAACGGACTTATTAAAAGAACTGGCAAGCAAAAAAGAAAATTCTCGTAAATAACAAAACCGTTGAATTATAAATTAACTTTTAACATCGCTGAATGATTTTTGTAGATGGTATTCCGATCTTGACGCTGGTTATTGAAGGTGGTCCCAATATTCTAAGAATAGTTTATTCATCTGTCACCGCTGGAATTCCATGTGTTTTTATCGAGGTAATAAATATACTAACACTGTTATGCAACCTTGTGCTTTTGTTTGATTTTGATTTTTTTTCCAGGGTTCAGGCATGTCAACTGATATATTTAGTATGACCTATTAACTTCAACGCGTATTTACCAGTAGAAAAAGTATGTAAAACCTCATAGTCTTAAGTTCGCGGACAAATAACAACTTGGCCTCATTTCTAGGAGATTTTATAAGAAAAATCTTTATTTTAATCTTTTATAGAAATCAAGTTGAGCATATTCAAACAGTACGAACAGAAGTTGAGAAAAAAATTCGAGAAAAGTTTGAACGAGGGACTTGACATAAAAAGTCATGTCGACATGGTCGTTAAGAGTCTCGAACATATGGAACTACTAACTGTTTATCGATTAGAAGGTGACAATGAGGGAAGAGTGGATGAAGCGATTCTAGATGCATTGTTGAAAGGTAACCACAATCAATAAAAACAAAAACACAGCTCAAATTCACTAATTTTCTCATATTTTTCATGATGGCATACGCTAATTTTAGAAATCTATTTCATGTCTTTACAGTTTCTGTGGATTAAAGCAGGAGAGACCGGCTAGAGCACTGATTTGTATTCCTTCGAATATCAATGAAGAGCTTTAGTTTTTTTCCCGTAGCTAAACAAGCTTCTGCTGATCAAGGATAAGAGAATGAACAGTTGCGTCTCGCTTTATTATGGAATAATATTGATGTGGCCAAAAAAATCGTAATGTCAGAAGAAATAAATTGGTCTGTATGTATTTATTCTTAGTTTTGTTCACATACTATTTTCAACATTACTTTTCGCTCATATGCAATATTTAACTAGTTTCAATAGTAATTGATGTTTGTTGTATTTAATTATTAGGGTCCGGATTTAACATCTCTTATGGATATTGCTTTTTATCAAAATCGTGTTGATTTCGTTGATGTACTATTAGAAATTGGAATCGATCTTGATAATTATTTAGGAAGAAATGATCGTCTGGTACGATTGTACAATGATTCATTAATAAGTATTAGATATGCTCTATTCCTCGTGCCACACAACTGTCACATCAAATACTGTAAGTTATAGAACGTAGTTTCAATAATATAATAACGTATTCTTTTGACGAGTATTTTCTAATACTCTGCTTTGATTGCTATTTTAGCAGCTTGCTCTAGTGAATGTACTTGATGGAAATATTTGATTACTTGTACTGGAGAAGTACTTGATAAATTTCCTCATTTACTAAACATTTGAACAAGAACTTGGTAAGCGTTTTTAATTCCAGGTTCTTGTCTAAGTACTCGCCAAACACCGGCGAACTTTTTTTTATCTAGTTGATTTTGAAAATTTTCCAAGAAAAGCAAGATAATCATACGAAATTCTCTAGATTAGAAAAATAAAAATGAAAATCACTGTTTACATATTATCTTCTTGTTCTTTCAATACTTTCTGAATGTCTGAATTCATTTTCTTAAATTGTAATTCATATTGATAATATTTTTTTTAATCAGCTCTCAATTCATCTAAACGTTTTTGAGTTAATGTATACATAACATCTTTAACAATGACTAATCCTGATAAGAGACCAACAATTGAGCCACCAACTACTTTAACTGATATTGATAAATTACCAAAAAGTGGAACTAATTGTATAAGACTACTGATAATCATTATTGTGTTCGATATACCATCATAGATTTGTCCATCACCGGCCAGATCAAGACGTTGTATAACGCCATCAATTTTAATTTTTAAATTATTAATAATTTGCATTGTATCTGTACATTTTGTATTCAATTGCAATGGTTTGAATAACAATTTTATTTGTTTGTTTTCTTTTATTAGTCTCGTAAACGAAATTCCATGGTCAATATTTGTACGTCTAATTTATTCTCATTTAGTTACAACCGGTTATGTATGCTTCATTTTCTAATCAACATAATAGTCGTTTTATTATATATTATTCTCGTTATACTTTTGTAATAGCTATGATCGGTATTATTAATGATCTTTTTAAAATACCTATGAGATTAGAAATTGAGTCGCGTAATCAGCAAACAAGTTTTGGTCAACAAACATGTACTTATCAAGATGCAAATAATCATTTAGCATGGCAATTTGCTATATCTCCATTTTTCCATCAACCTACACTGTATGTTTATCATTCATTAATTTTATTCACTTTTATTATACATTATGATCGATGTGGTTACAGTTGTGAGATTCGTTTTTCCCACGGTGCTTTCTTATAGAATTTTAGGGTCATATATATCCTATTGAATATGCTCTGTAGAAATAGGCTGATTTCATTTATTAGGAAAAGGTTTGTGCGTCGCACATGTTTCTATTGTTGGAAATCAAAACTGCTGAGAAATGTTTAAATGCGATGCGTCTACTCCTGTTTTGTCAACGAAATAATTTGTAAAATTACGTTGTAAATAAGTCTGAGAAGTGAAATTCTACAGAAAAAGTAACTGATGTTTCTGTTCTAAGACGCAGTATCTTCAAAGAAAGATTTTCAGTGTTTGGAATCAAGCCTGAAATGAGTCTGAATCATGACTCGAATTTGAAAGTTGGATAACGTTGACTCGACTGTTCAACTCGAGTTATCTGAGTCATTTATTCAAAAAATTATTCACTTGCTCTTATACAGAAAAAATTTTCATTTATAAGACTAAATTTTCTCTTATCTATAACTTTCATGCTAATTGAATACATTGTATCCGAATAATATTT